GTGACTGATGGTTTGTTAATTCCAGAGTGTAAATATGTTGTTTATTTTTATAAGTTTTAAGATAGAGTAACTGTCACAATATCTTCATCGGTACTTAACTGTAACATGCAATGGGAAATGTTGATGGGGAATCCTCTTGGAAAATATGTACTTGGAAGACCGAAAAGGAGATGGGAGAATAACATTACGTTGGATATAAGATAGATAAGTTGTGAAGATGGTATAGGTGAAAGTTTTTAGTTAGATATCGTGTCCTGTGGCGGACTTTGGTACAAGCGGTGTTAAACCTTAGTATATTACGTAATACTATTAGACTTTAGTCTACCTTCGATGCATAAACACTTCCAAGTCAGCCTTTGTTTCACCTTATTCTGTTTTATTAACGACCGGCCTTTGATAATTACACGCAATTAGGCAAATACAAGTCACAACTCTATTAACAGAGCCTATACGTGTCAGTTGTTTGTCTGCTCGTTTTTTTGAAGATATTATTATAACACTATCGGTTATGTAGTGTCACAATGCAATTTAATGGACGAGGAAGCGAACTGTTGTTGCATTATCACAGCATACGCCTGGAAAAGCACAGTAAACTTCGATCGAGAAACCCGATATTTGAGCCGAAAATCGAGTTCTAGACTTACCGAATTCGAACAGAATATTCATCCTTGACGTCATGTCCACTTGCCAGTTTTTTACATTGTCGTATTACGTAGTGTCATAATTGCAGTTATTCTTACCTTTTCCCTTTTTTTAAGAGTGACTAGTAATGAGAATGGTTCTGAATGACAACATTCTGGCATCGAAGTCTATATTTTATGTCATACTGGACTTCGCAACCTTGTATTTGTTTGCTTCAGAAGTTTAGCGGGTCCATCTAAAAACAATGATTGGTATGGAAAGAATCCTGGACTATTATTAGCCCACATATGCGAACGTGACGTTAGCCTCAGTAATCAAGTCTCTGAAATGACTAGGCCACGGACTGAACAACCGGAGTTCGATTCCTGACAGGGATAGCGACTTTCCTTTTCACCATGGGACCCACTAAGACTCCTACACAGTGGAAACTGGGGGCTTTTTCCGTGGTGGTAAAGCTAGCGGGGCGTGAACCAGACCACCGTCAAGAATGTACGGAGCTATTCTACCATTTCCCAATACAGGATCTTTAATTAAAGGAGCAGAGAAAAAGTTCCCTTGTTAGAACGTAACTTCATGTCGAGCGTAAGTAAACATATTTTTGTTTCGCGATGGAACACTGATGTGAGCACAAGTTTAATTTATGTGCTCGTTGATTGGTGATACGAACTTCCGTATCAGTGAATTATGATGAAGTTGTTGGCATGGTTGACGTGAAGGACAAAGTATCTTCCCACGTACACAGGGCTACTGTGCAAGGTTAACATGAATTAAAACAAGAAGAAAAAATGTAAGCAAGATATGGAAAACACAAGGAAGTTTGTACGCAAGAAATTTGCACATTTCTAATTTTATATTAAAACGTAAGTCACTAGCTTCCTTTAGTGGTATTGGTTGCATAATTTATCTTTCGTATTTATCGTAATTAACTTTAGTATCATACCTAAGGCTGTTACATGAATTAGGATACATTTGTTTCATTACGTTCCAAGTTTCATTTTGAAAAACCTCCATGACTTAGTCACTCTTGACTTTTTAAAATAATGGAGCAACATATACGTAGATAGGCCTACAATATACTCTTAATTTTGCCACAGTCTCGTTTGTTTCTCAGAATAAACAGCTATTATTTTCCTAGTTAGCATTAACCAATTAGTTACTGTAATGAAAGCACTTTTATTTTTGCGGTAAGCGCGTGATATTTAAATATTATGTAGGTCACCTTCGTCCTTTAGACGGTTAGAATTCATTTCTGTTGTCTGAAAGAGAAGTAACACACGTGTTAAGGGGAATGGCATAAAATATGGTGCATGATACGTTTGGTAAGATTTTTATCGTCATCATCATTTTTATCATCAGCGTGTTGATCCTAGTGACCTGTTGTTGCCTCACGCCAGCGTCTGTGGGGTTTCCGCAAGATCTTCGCCATTTCGGTTTTTAACAAATAAGCTGGGATGAGATTTTAGAGCAGAGCATTCCAGAAGTTATTTTTTGTTTTGAGTTAGATTAGTTTTTCGTGTAGCCCGTGATTGGTAATGTATACAATTTTTATATATATATATATATATTTTTTAAATTCGCTTTACAGTCGTCATAAATCCAGTTTCAGCTGCTGTGATTTTACTTCCATGTCGTTTGTACACAGTCGCTGCAGTAAGCCAATATGGAAAGTACGAAAGACTTGTCAATTTTAATTTTTGTGTTCCTGAACCAGACTGCGCTCGAACACTTGGTAGATTACCCTCGGGGCTTTTTGCTACACAACCGAAAGTAAACTTTGATCTTTTGAAGAGCGAACGTGGGGAGCAAGCAATTGTTGACACTACATAAAAGGGGTGGTGAGTGTCTTTTGTACGTACCTCACGTAAGGTACGAGGGTTGCTTCGAGCTTTTTGTGTTTTGCAATTTTCAGACACGAGCTTGTTGGGAAGGGAGGGACACCGAACGTTTTCAAGTGAAATGTAATAATCATATTGGCAGATTCCAAATGTGGCGAAGCCACAAGCTTTCGTCCATGCAACACAGAACCAAGAGACCTCGACGGTAAAGTTGTTAAAATATTGTAATTGACTGGGTTACATCGTTATTTTGAAGTTATCATCTGAACACGTGCCCTGTCACAGTGGACACTTGACACCTAGAACCGAGTTGTTGAAATTACGTTGTCGTGACCTATCCATGTCACGTCTCATTCCATCGATTTCCGTCCAACCGTGGGTCCACAAACACAGATTTAGTTAAGCCTTATTATACTACTTTTAAATTCCGTCATATCATTACATTGCTTTTTGTAAATTAAGTCAGAACCTCTTAAGAATTATTATGGAAACTTCTAGTTTTTATTAGCAGCATCTTATAACGCCCAATCCTATAAAACAGTTGTCTGTTGCCTTTGCAGTAGCACTTTTTAGTGAAAAAATAAATTATGCTAATATATTAACCAAAACCTATTTACAACAAATCTGTTACTATGTTATATTTTCCGTTAATTAATAGAGTTTTACAGTATTTACTGCTACATGTTTTGCCTCTTCACAGATGCACGTATTTAATGAAATTTAAGCCTTTTAATACACTCTTACATTGAATTTTTAATGGAGCCATAATTCCGTTTGTTATGCATGTTCTTGTTAAAACCTTACAATTATTTAGCTGTTCTTAAACGTTTAGCCACTGTTGAGTTTTGTTTCAAAATATCTGCCTTTTCGTCCATAAATGCTAAAACTTAATTGCATTATATTTCTTCATTTAGATCCTCATTTAACACTTCTGATATATAATTCTTCTGGAGAAACTGAGGAAAACTACAAACCTCAGTCCGTATAGGTAGCTACCCAGATGAAGACATGGTCAGACATAATGTAGAATGACTAAACAATTATCGTGCTGTAAGCTATAGGCAGATGTGGGTATTCGAGCATGTTAACTCAGCGGTAATGCGACCGATTCCGTTTCGGAAATATTGTTGTTGAAATTTATTGTATTTTTGAAGGCATGGGCTAGTTCGCTATCGATTTCTTTACATTTATTTTTCTGCTCACCACTCATATCACGTAAACATTTTGCATTCCACAGTGCTGAATTTCTTCAGAGATCTCTCCCACGTAATCTTTCAGACATTCCTTCCATATATCTGTTTAGATCTAAGATCGGCCCATCGCAGGGACGCAGAGTGAAACAGAACAATGCGTATTTGTATCCATTCCCGGAGCGTGATTCGAACCCGCGGTCTCAGGTTAGCAGTTGTCCAAGAGTGTAAATAGTAAACTATGATGCGTCATCGCAGCATATCGGCAATTCATGGCATTTCCCATTTTATTTTGTTGTTTGTTTAACTAACTGCATATTGCAGAATCCTTCACTAGTTTGTATCAAACGAAATTACAGTGCAATATCACCGGTCTCTGTACTGGTCATTTCAACATTATCTAGCTTATTTTCTCTAATATATAAATGTGTTGTTGTTGTTGTTGTTGTTGGTGGTGGTGGTGGTGTTCTGTCTGACGACAGGTCCATATGAGCAGGATCCTTCCATCCTTTTCTCGGACTGGGACCTGTTCATATACGTTCTTGGCAGATGATCCAGAAGTGGTTTGCCATTGCCTTCTTCTGTGTGTGAATGGAGTAATTGTTGGGATGCCACGGAGGAAAACTCCGTGTTGCCTAGACCACGGCCTTGCCCAACACAAGTTAGAAATTCGGGCACCGCCGGGAATCGAACCCGAGACCCCAGGATTACAAGGCCAGCGTTCTAACCGCTAGACCACCGTGGCTGCAAAAAAAATGTGTTGATATCCTAAATTTAAACAATATGAGAGCTTAGGTTTACTACAAGTGTCAGGACCTAGGCAATCTAAAGTCTCATTTCAGTTACCTATTTATTAATTCGTAATGATTTTGCTTTGACATCAACAAACGATTCTCAGTATCCTGGAGAAGAACGATTTAAGATTCATTCTGATGTGTCGCAGTGCATTGGAACTTGCATCCAGCATTTTCCAATTTGTGTACGACATGACACGTTTTTGTTGTGACCCGACACACAACTGTAAACGAGCTGAACAGACGTGATTGTGTAAGCGTAATGCCCGGCCATACATAACGTGTCACACACACCTTTCATATCCGTTTTGTGTTTGTAAAAGAGATTTTCTCTATTGAAACCTATATTGGCACTTTTATTTACCGAAACCAGTGAAAGAATAGAATGACTTTTAACAATTCTCTTACCATAACACGATTTGATGTAGCCCCAGGCATTACGCCATTGATGTTTCATCTATTTTCTTTACTGTCACACAATTATTATTGAACTGTATAGAAGCAAGTAGTGTAATTGTTGTGCTGTATTGTGTTCTCAGGGGCGGATGCAAGGAGCATTTCTATTGGTGGTGGATTCGCCCAGCAGTATTTGCTTCAGCAACTTCCAGAGGAAAAGTGTTGGGACGTCGTCATCAGTTCCAATTGCTCCTCCTACTACGGAGTGGTTGTCACCAGGACAACAGTCTCGACAACGACCGGAAATTACGTCTAACATTGGTGACCAGAGGTCGCAGGCGACACTCTTCAACATCTTTTACCCCTTCTTTACATCTTTGCTGTTACCGTGGAGGGTATCAGACAACTTTAAAACGGGACAGCTTTAGTAGACCCAACTGCAAAAGAAAGAAAATTACATATACAATAAACTTTACTGAAATAAAATAGTTATTTCGTCTCTCTTACCTCTAAGGTTTCCATTTTAAGTTGTTTCGACGCCATTTTTAAAAATTTACTGTTAACATACAGCTCCCTCATCAGGGTGACTCCCGAGTGTCTGTTTTTTAAACTTACCTCGTATAATATTTTTTCACTATTTTGTTTATGACGGCTAACAGTCGAAGTGTTCTACCAGAATAGTGTTGCTTCTGAAGAAATATTAGGAGGTGTGAAGGAGTTAAAAGTGTTGTCATCAAGAGCGAAAACGGGTGTTTGAATGGGAATTAAAAGTGGTATATAAAGTGATTTTGTGTTGGGCAGTGGTCGGGGTATTTTATGCGTTACAGTGTGTTCACAATTGTTTTGATTTTCAGGGAGGGGGTTGTGTGTGTCTGTGTGTTTCCGTTAAGACGCCTCCTCCCTTAAATTATAAAGGTGAGGCAAGCAGTGAGTAGCGGTGGTGGTGGGTGTGGAGGTGGAAGACGTCATGAGTTCCTACTTTGCTAACAATTACATCCCGGACCTACGCAACGGTGGCGTGGTATCCGCGGAGCATCCCCACCAACACCAGCATTATGGGGCCGCCGTGGTGGCGCAAGGTGGCGGGCCGGGTGGCGCCGTCACGACAGACCCGAGTTCCTGTGCCGGTGGTGACCACACCGTTGTAGGGCTCAGACAGGGTATCCCTCCGCACCATTATGGGGGCCCTCCCACCGCGGGTCAGCCACCTCAGGGTATGCCGTACCCCAGATTCCCACCTTACGATCGCATGGATATCAGAAACGCGGCGTACTACGGGGCACAGCAGCAGGGCAGTGGAGGAGGGCTCATGGCGGATGGCAATGGAGCCGGTGGAGGTGGGGGTGGATACCGATCAAATTCGCCAAGTAACGGGGGAATGGGACATCTGGGAGGGGGTGGGCCCCCTAATGGACATCAGACGCCAGTGGTGTACGCAAGTTGCAAACTGCAAGCAGCAGCAGTTGGAGGTTCTGGTGCCCTTGGTTCCGGAAGTCCACCGTTAGAAGGCCCTCCGCAGGCAACGCTCAATAACCACAGTCATCAAAATCATCATCATTCTCAACAGCAGCATGCGAACCACCAACAGGGACCTCCTCCGCATCACTTGCAAGCGAATCACCAACATCAGCATCCCCATCACAATCACCAGGCCGCGGCGCAGAATCACCTCATGTACAACAACGTGAGTCAGCAGCCTTGCGAGCAGGGACCGCCCCATCACCAGCAGGTGGTTGCGCAACAGACAGCGACGGCTCAACCCCCGCAGCAACCACCCAGCAACACCGCGTCCACCCTGCCCAGCCCGCTGTACCCCTGGATGAGGAGTCAGTTCGGTGAGTGCAGACGCCTTAAAGAACGACCCCTCCCTCGCATCTTCGTTATATACTCGGCGGCCCGAACAATCACATACGAAAATGCCGGATGTTCCATTTGTTCAGATTAATTCCTTACGTCACCACAGTTTCTATAGCAGGAGATCTCAACACTTGTCAGCGGATGGGTCACCGGTTTATGTTTGCCCAAATATTAAGAATACTGGAATATACGACATTTTTTAGATAAATAAGATATTCGTAGCTCTTACCGCAGATGCCTTTTACGAGTAATTTATTATATGTCATTCGAAATATTTAATTTTACTCTTTGAACAATTGTTTTGATAAATTTAGTATGAACTCAGCTTCTGGACCGAGCCTATAGATGTAACTGCATTCTGGATCACCAAACTTTTGAAGCATAAAACAGTATAATAATTAAATACTTTTTAATGTCATTACAATGGTTTAAATTGAAAAGTATGGATTATGCAGTTTTAATGTTCTTTTTTACCAATAAACTTACATCAAATTTATGTAAATATTTTAAGCTTGTAATTCTATTCAAGCAATTCGGTAGTGAACCTGCTTTTTAGATACGTTTGCTCGAAGAGGAGAACCGCATTTACCACAGAACCTACGGAAACAACTGGTGTTAACCTGCAATTGTTCAGAACGTTCTATTGAACCTAACTTCCACAGTTGTATGGGCTGGAGTAACATACAGAAGGGTAGTGGAATATCTAGTTTTATTGTGTGCCCTTTTTTAGGGCTGGGGGGGGGGGAGTTTGGATTGGAGGTTTATTTCACCCTATCCTACTTGTGTAGGTTATATAACAACTGCAGCTGTAGAAGGGAAACCACAACGCGATTGCACTGGTTGGCCGAAGTCCAACATTCAACTAGCGGGCCCCTGGACATCGTCCCATCAGAGAATACACAAACCACTGTACAAAATTTCCCAGCCTTTGATTGATTCTTGGTTTGTTTAATGACACTTCACAACTGCACATATTAATGATTGTAATTTTACACTCTTCGGACAATCATATTGATACATTACGACAAACCAGGACGCCATCTTCGAAGACGTTCATAATGTTAAGGCGACACGAAAAGTGGTTGACACACTGTAAACAACAGACAGTGCAAATGAGTGCTGACTGCTCCATATTCTGTAGATCCCGATTTCAATTCTCGGTTCGGAGGTGAGCCGTCATACCTCTTTTGGTGTTTCAGCAATATTCCAATGGCACAATGACTCCGATTCGTCCTATTATCTAGGATTGTGACAATTTATTACAGATCCCATATGATAAATAAAACGCTTGCGTTTTTAAAGAAAAATTCTCATTTAATTAAACGTGTCCACTCGTTACACGAACGGCCTTGAAACTGGAAAGTTCCTCATAGAGTTGTAAGTAGACGTACCTGTCCAGTTTAATTTCTTTGCTACTTTAGAGTGTGGGTTACGATACAAAACTTGAGTCCCAGTAAAATAAAAAATTGTTCTTACAGAATCGAAAAATAATTGATATTTAATAAAATCACGAAGAATTTATTAGCGAATTTTAAAAAAGTTTTCGAGAACTAAGGAATTTACTGTATAGTATGAAATCTACAACTATCTGGACATCTCTGGTTTGTATTTAGGATGGGCCGTGTTACGATCTCGGACCAAAGACCTCTTATCATGATTAAGAGTTCTTTTTATTTTCTTAGCCCCTTCAGGCAAATCCTCTAGTACTTTTTCCTAGAAATATGCCGATACCGACACATGCCACGTCTTTTACATTTTGCCGTTCGCAATCACATCATCATTTGACTTGTTCATCTGAAAAGTGTCGTTCAACAATATGATTTGTTATGAAACCAATTACACCTTAACGACCGACTTAAACGGTTTGAGCGATAAATACGAACCTTAAACACGGCAATACGTTACTCAAAACTCGTGATACATGTGCACAAGAAATTATAAACAGCTGGTCAAGCCGTTTATATTCTGAAGTTTTCCCAGGCTCTACACATTTTAATTGTGTTAAAAGAATTGGAGACTAACAATATATCCACTTGACTATAGCTTACCCTCAAACTCCTTTAATCGAATTCTTTGAAGGTCTTCCTTGTATGTGATATAAAAGTACATTAGTGTAATTGCATATGGCCTATCATTTTAAGTTTCTGATATCAATTAATTAATTTCGCTTCTATAAAAACACTCCTTCTACTGCATACCAATGCACGTGCCAGAATATTGGGTTTAGTTATATTCAGTTTTATAGAAAACAAATTTCTTTACAAACTTCAGCGTTGCCTATGTCCGATAATGCAGGAAATGTTATCGGGGGTGTGAGATTGGAGAGGCGGGGTTGTTTTCAATCGTAAATCTTCTGTGCAGTATTTTTTAACCAGTCAATATGATTGAATCAGAAAATACGAGGTTTTGAAAACGCATAGCTGTTCTATAATCTTCTCATACTATAGGTTATCTCATAATCCATATTAATAAATTGATTGATGTTCCCCTTTCACATTCAGTGTGGCGCTGTCAACGCTGGTAATATATTACTGTTCATTTCTGAAATCCATTTCATGCTGAGGCTCTTTAAACATTTGCCTGACCGGTGATGCTTGATGACTGCTTTGTAATACATTTCAGCTTGTACTTTTAATTTTTTTGTTTTTTGATCGTATATTTTAGCCTTGGCTTTTTACGTTGACCCTTTAACTATAATTCATATTTTCACAGATAGGCCATGGCCGACGAGATTCAGATGGGTGATGCGGTAATGTGAGAAAATACAGCGTGAGAGGTTTCTGAAAGCAATTCATCACGTCATTGTGTCCAAAACATGAAACAGACTTATTTTTCATACGTAATTACTAAATAGATTAATATACATCCTGATCTAAAACGCGGTTTCCTACAAGCAAGAGCTGGCAATTCAATGTCGTTATCAAAGACAGAATACATTTTATCTGAATGTTGTATTCCTAAATTCATCTAATTTTGAAAAGCTTAGTTTAGAATAAACTATTTAAGCACGGTCATACCTTTATGAACCATCTGATTTAACATTCAGTATCTCAGCATTCTGCCCTCAGGTCCCGTACGTTTCTCGGAATAGTGAAGAGACTGGGATAATTTGTTATATATTGGATGATAACATTAAAATGAACTGTGTTTGAAGACGTGGACTGGACTGAAATTGCTCAGAATACAATACAGTGGTGGTTTATTGTGAAAAATGGAATGCATCTTCGCGTTACTTAAGACAATGGATTTTTCTTGGCGGGTTGAATGACTTAGCTTTTCAAGAAGGTCTCTGTTGCATGGACTTCGGTAAATGTGGACGTTAGGTTGGCGTTTGTAATGTTCAGAATACAAAGAAATGTCCATGAACACTGGGTGTTGAATTCAGCAAAATGAAGGACGATGGAATGTGTCTTTACTCAGTATAGCACGATGGGTGTCCATTTAGTGACAAGGTAATCCATCTGACAGGTTTATTAAGGTACGTTACAACGGCGCGGCGGGTGAGGGGGTGAGGACTGCAGTGTTGGGTCAACTACCTAGAACAGCAATCCACGATTGAAGCTACTCGTATTGTTTATTCTGCTAAAGCTTGTTGCAGAAAAATCTTGTCTCTTCCTTGTGCATGGTATGTGGGGCCCATAGAAGATCCGTTTCTGCACAGAACTTTTTTCGATCTCTTTAAAACCAATATTGACGTGGCATTCGAAGCAAATGTAATTATAGTTTTGTGGCGTAGGTAATATCCAAAGAATAAGTAGGAGCTATATATATAAAACTCTCCCCCAAAGCGCCTACATGGCGTATAATGGGAATAAATATTTTCAATATAAGATTTGAGGTTTACGCTTTACTCCAGGAAGAATAATTATAATTGCAATTTTAAATTAATTCGTGACACAAAAATATGTTATTATAATCAGAAGAACAGCACCTATTCATATAATCTTATCAAATACCTCGGTTTGCTCACATAACAAACACCATATCATACGAGGAATGAATTTTGAATCAGTGGTCTAAAATAATGTGACCTCTTTTTATGCTACTAGTCATTCTGTCTTCCGTGGGACACGTGCTTCAGGTATTCAGCTGTCTATGAAAGAACAAGAAGGCCCTCGGAGTCATTCGGCGACAGAACAGTTGTCACCATCAGTTTTCAATCTTTGCCTATTTAAATACAGATGATCATACAGACATAAAGTCGTCTATCAAACGTTGTAAGCGGGCTTTTTTGTACAAACTTTGTTTCCACTCTTGGTTTCTGAAAATTTATATTTAATTATATAGCGTCAAATGATAAGATGGTTAATAAACTGGAAAGGATTCGGATGGAGAGCACGAGGAAAGCCACGAATAGGCTGAGTCTGTATATCCGGTTTTCGAAAAATCTTAGAACCGAGTACTTTTCCGAAATCGAAGCTGGTATACTAATTATAGGACCCCGATGTTCTGTTGTTTCTTGATATTTGTTAGTTCAAGTGAAAGTAGTGTGTGATTGTTGATGGTATGAAAAGTCTGACGTGACTGTACCGATAGGCCTACAGTCTAACAATATTTTTTAATTTTCCAATTTTTAATTTAAAGGTCAAATAAAATCTGATGTAGATTTGGAACTGTTTCACTCTTCTTTGCTTTATACGTGCTTCCTGTACACAACATAACAATGCATAAGAGAGCCCTCAGCGGCATTTTAATGACTGTCCAATTCTGTTTTGTTCTATTGTCTCAGACATTTATTAAGTTTCCAAATACGTCGGTTTCTAGCGTCGTTAAGAAAGCTATCTATTACCCTGCTGAGAGATGCAAGAGTTTCCTGTAGTATCGACTTTTTTCCTTCCTGAATCGTAATTAACGAAATCGCTGACATAGTTCCAGTAAACAATTTGTAAATGCATTGAAACAAATTATCGTATTGCACTTGTTTTGGATTTGGACTTAAGGATTATTTGCTAAATCGCATTAGGTATCAACGTAAAAA